TCAAATATCAAATACTTCAAATATATAAAATATTAGGACAAATAGTAAAATATATTTTATTATTAATAAAATTCCTATTTTATTATTTATTATTTATTATGAATATTAGGTGAATAATAAGGTGAATTAAACAAATTCTATGCTTCATGCTTCATTTTGGATTTTCCACGACTCGGAGCAGCTGTAATAGACTATACAAATTATACTATAATTGTATAGTATAATTTGTACTATTTAGTATATTTAGTATTTTAGTATATTTATATTTTTATATCTTTTATGTATTTTTGCAAGTTTTGTGCGAAAATCCCCGCCAATTACATCACCGTGTATCATCAAATTGACTTCTATCATGTTGTTTATCCCCAATAGATTGTATAAAATCTATCGACAATACAGTTATTTAAATTAGACATAATTTGAATTAATGACAATTAATTCAAAAATTGGTTGTCCTTTCTTTCCTCCTTGGGCAAGCTTAGCGTATAAACATTATTATGTGTTTATTTTCGTACGTTTTTACGTACGAAAGGCGATTCCGAGCGCAGTTTGGTAATACATATTTAAAATGCCGTATTTTTTTTTTGTGGTTTTCGTTAAGTGTGAACTCGTCCGATTTGGAAATTTTACCACATCCAAGTAATTAATTAATTATGCTTGAAATATTGAAGTATTTGTATTCTTACCAAAGTAAAAATTACCAAGTTCCTTACCTTTCTTACCTTTAACTTGTTTAAAGTCTCTACGTGTATTTATGATCGAATAACTCCTAAAAATTAAAATTCCATAAAAGCTCATAAAAGAGACTCAAAGTTTTTTGTCATCCGTGTTTTATAAAATAATGAAATCTCTTAAAGTGCTTTAATTTAATTTAATGGCATCGAAAATCAAAAAAAAGACGTTTTAAGAAATTTAAGTACAATTTGGAAAACTTGAGCTTTTAGAAAAAATGCTTAAAAATCGGAACAAATGTACTAGAAAAAAACATGTCACACAAAACTAGAACAATATAATAAATAACATTTAACATTTATAATTTTTATTTAATTTCAATGTAATTAATTTGTTGAACGTTATAGTTTTGTCAAGATTGTAATTTTGTAATATTTTACAAAATTACATATACTAATAATATACAATATATGGTATATTCCATAATATACCATATTATAAATATATTATAGTATATTTATGGTATGATACCATAAATATATAATAATAACTATATATAACAGTGTAACTATATAACTATACTTAGTGTTAGTACTATAGTATAACTATAACTATGTACACATTATATATAATGTGTATACTATATAAATTATGCAACAATATGCAATACTGTATAATATGTATAATATGTATATCACATAATATAATAATATAATATAATATAATATATAATAATAATTTAATTATGTGTGTACATAATTCTTGTTTAATGTAAGTAAAAAAATGTAATAAAACCAGGTGAATAATAATAAATATATATTAATAATAAATAAGTGTCATTTATCACTTTATCAGTTTATGAGGTTAGGTTAGGTTAGGTTAGGTTATTTATTACCTTGTTTCTTCTTGTTTCTTCTTCTACACTTTTATTATATTTATTTTATTATTGGAAAAATGTTATACTTTTTATATTTTGTAATAACAAACTCAGATTTTGAGTGAATTCTTGAAATCAAAATAATTGATTAATTAATTAATTAATTAATTAATTGATTAATTTCGTTAAATCTAACAATTAATTAACACTTATTATTATTTTTTACACTCGTTTTCTTTTATCATATCAGTCTAGAGACTGTTATTTCGATTACATATATTTCGAAATATCGGTCCAAATATTGCGCGTACCAATTTACCAATTGGTAAAATTTACGTGTAATTATTGCGTAAGTACTTCTTGAAATACTAACAATATTTGAAATTATTTGTGAAATGTTAATTGAATTCGCATTCTTGAATTAATTCTCACGGGAATTTGAAAAACTTTTACTTGTTGGTAACTATATGTATGTAATTATACAATATGTACTATACAGAGTACTGTAGAGTACTCTATATATACCATATATATACCATATATACATTACGTATGGAATTACAAATTATGAAAAGTTTCTTTTTCTCTTCGGACTTTTTTTAGTAATTTTGTTATTTTATTATTCTGCACGTATTACACGTAGTTTTCTAGTTTTTCATTTCCTGACTCCGCATATCCCGGAAAGAATAATTAGGTGTAAGTTTATAATAAGTTTGATAAGTTTGATAACGGTTCTTTCGGTAAATATCGGTATATTTACAATTGTTATTACATCGGTATGTAATAACATTTTTTTTTTTGTAACCTGTGTCAAAACAAATGTCTAATTCACGTTTGTTGTCCGGACCACTCAGTTAGAAAGTAAAGTACCATTCCTAAATCTTAACATCCTTCGTAAACCAGCAATATGTTTGAAAAAAAAAATATTAAAAAATTCGATTTGTTCTGCATAATTTTTTAATTCAAACAATTTTCGTCAGAATGAATTCAAGAATTTTGATTCCTTTATTTGTATAGAACAAATACTTTTTTAATAATTTTTTTTTAAGTATCTACCGAATAAAAATTACGTACAAAACTCGTAAAATTAAAATTTCTCTATAATTAAATATTTATCATGCTTTCGACAAGATCAAAGATGATCTATATGATATATGATATATGATTATATATCAATAGATATCAATATATCAATATCAATAGATCGATATAATATGTAGTATTATAGATATAGTATGTATTATGTATTATATATTATAGTGTTTTATCAGTTTTGTTATGTTTTATTAATGACTATAGCGTGATTATCGCTTTGTAATTTGTGCATGTGTGATTTGAATATTTTCAACAATTCGTTGGTGCATTCATATAATCACATATTATTATAATAAATATTCTTATAATCACAACGTGCATTCACGCGATTGGCAAGTGCGCGTCTGGAATCCTCGCCGCCCATGAAGTAGATTTGTAAAAATGTATGTGGTTCGTTTGGCATTGGCAGCATTTTATGATATATTAACTTGGCCTCTGGATTTTGAATGTAGAATTGTATTGTTGACCATTTGCATTAATATTTCGAACTATTTCTGTTGCTCCGAACTATGTCATTTGAAAGCATGAATTATTCAATTCATTCATTCATTCATACATTCGTTCGAATTGACTTCAGGAACACGTTAGAATCTGGATTCGTGCCGATAAGTAAACCGTTAAATGGTGTTTCAATTTCAATTTCAATTTCAGGTAGTTGCACTTTTCCTGACGCGCACTTTTCCCAGCTGGCTCATTTTTAAATTTCAGAGAATGCGGACATTCCTTGTCCATAGCACCATTACCACTTTTGAATGAGCATAATTATATAATATAATATAGCATAATATTATAGCATAATATTCAATATCGGGCTCATACTGGAATTCTAGACGCAGGAATGAATCAGATGTACTCAGATACTCAGATACTCAGATGCTCGATGTACCTGTTGTCGTTGTTGGTCATTTGTTCTGCGTCTATTGACTGTGAAACGGCGTGGTGGTCATTCTAATCTTATTACTTCATTGCGTTCAGCTCGTGTTCTTTCATTGTGTCAAGCTCTTCAAGAAGATGAGCTTTATTATGTCAAGACATAATTGCCATTCTGACACGTGCATCAGTATTTTGTTGCTGGATTTGTTCTTCGGTTCTTTCGGATCTTCTATTTCGCAAGCTTCGAGACTTGTATGACGGTTCAAATCAGCGTTCAAATCCCTTTGCGTTTTGTTGGCATTGAAATATGTGCAAAATATGTTTTGCATAGGTTGTACAGGTTAGGTTAGCAAAATTAGCCAAATCGGCCCAGCCGTTCTCAATTGTTATTGGCACGCGGGTGCCACAGAACCCAATAATAAAAAATAACCACATATTAAATGGCAAAATAATTTCAACAACTGTTGAATATCGTACGTGCTAGTATACTTATATACTATACTATACTATACTTTGACTTAAGGCTTTGACTCTCTAGTCAAAGCCTTAAAGCCTCTGCTTTAAGAGGCTTTAGCCGATTCTCAGACATATGCATTTCATGAGAGGTTAGGTTAGGTCAAGTCGTCTCGGAGGTGTAGGGAACGAACATGTATATATATACATACATAATATACATGTTATGTATCATATGTATCATATTATAGGTATTACGGATACAGATATTATCTGTATAGATATATCTTTATATTATATATCTTTAGATTATCTGCCGAAATAAGTAGATAAATAAATACCAGTGATCTGGAAATATCTGGATCCAGAAACTGAGATGCATTCCGTTGTTACAACGAACAACGATTCAACGATATCGTGCATTTTGCACTAGCAGTTGACCAAACGATTTACGACGTGATTCGAGACGATCTAGACGAGATGATCTTGCAAATGATATTGATTTGAGAGCAAACTCTCAGGAGATTTTCTTCAAACACTTCCCGTCATCCCGAAATCTACTGAATATCTAATGAACTTAACGCATGCCTGAAATCGTCGTTTTTATGTTTTTCTTGTCAAGAAGTTGAAATTGACCAGAAATTTGCAGAACTCAAAACGGCTGCTGAATTCTCGAGACGCTGGCGTCTGCTGGCAAGCGGCTTTGCTAAGCAGCAAAGGCCAAAATCAAATTCCGGTTTTCGACTGGATTAATATTGTTCCCGGAAAAGTGTTGAAGATAGTGAACGGCATATATATAGCAAAGAATAAGGACGTTGAATAGCTTGAATTGTATTCAAAGTAATCCAGATTTTATTTTATCCAGATTTTATTTTACTCCAGAAATTTTAATTGCGTCCATTGACAGACGAAATGATCGACTAAATCCGACGGAATTTTTTAACTCGCTTGCCAGGAACGCCGCTGCATAATTATGCTGTAAATTTACAGATAATGGATCTAATAATGATGTTTATTTAAATCATCCTAAATGGTATGCGAGGAACTGAAGAACAATGATGTACATTACAAGCAAGCGCTTGTTTGGCAAATTGGCAAATTCAAAGGTGAGGTTCCACGGATCTCACGGATTCCGATCATTCCAACATATTTTCCATTTCAATTCAAGCGGATTCAGTTGGCTTTTGCGGTGACAATCAATAAATCGCAAGGCCAATCTTTGGAAGTCTGTGGGATAAATTTAGAATTTTCATGTTTTTCGCACAGTCTGTACGTTGCCAGTTCACGTGTTGGCAAACCTTTTTCGTTGTTTATAAATTGTTTATCATATTGCACTCAACTGATTTCTGTTTCAATTCAAATAAATCAATAAATTCTTGAACTATATTATAATCATATAATTATAATATTATTTACATGTAATTACATGTAAATTAATTACATTAATATAATATAATATTATATTATATTATTTAATAATAATTATATTATTAACTATTATTTATTATATAATATATATATATATTATTATATTATTATAGTCTATTATAGTATATTAATTATAATATTATAATTAATATAGTATATATATAATATAATACTATATTAATTTAATATAATTTAATTTAATTAAGTTATAGTTTTTAGTGATACAGTTTATCTGAAGGAGTTAAGTTCGCCAGATCCACTTAATATTTAAAAAGAATTTTTGGCAAAACAACGTTTACCGTCAGCACTAGCTATATTATATATAGTATATTTAGTTTTTTTTTTCTAATAATTTATTTACTAATAGAAATATAAAATGAAATACAAAAATATAAAAATATATAAAAAAAATTGAAATTAAATTTCTTAACCAAATAATAATACATAATACATAATTTCAATTTTTTGATGATTATTAAATTTAACAAAATGCAGATTAATTAGAGAGCAGTTTGAACAATTTATAAAATTCATTTATTTATTTAATTCATTTATGAATGAATGAATGAATGTAATTTTGAACTAATAAAAATAAAATAAATTAAAATTATTATTTGCTAAGAGGATCCTTCCGAAAAGTAGGCACTAAAAATATCACTATAAGTGAGGTGCTAAAAATTTAAGCCATAAAATTCATTTATTTTACTCATCAGTAATTTATTATTAACTTTTATTTATTATTTAGTAATTATTTTTTTGACATTTTTTAATTAAAAAATGTCAAAAAAATAATCAATCTTTGAAATATCCGATTAGTTTTATCCATAAATAATCGGATATAAATGGATATAAATCCATAACTCGGCTATTTTTTAACATAGGAAGTTACCATTAAAATTCATAAAAAAATAAGAGTAGAAATAAATATTTAAAAAAAAAAAATAAATAAAATGACAAAATGTTTTGTCGTTTAATCTTAAAATATCTTTTGTAGTGACAAATGAATAGCGGTTCGTTAATTTTTTTTTTATTTATACACGATAAATGTTTATTTTATCGATATAGGGCAAAAGCCAAATAATCAAATTCCACATATTTGTGTGGAATCTAAAAAACATACCATCAATATTACAAATTAATTTTAAATTTATTCAATTTATTAAAATAAATTGAATTGAATTGAATTCACTATTTAGAAAAATGTATTATTTCGCACGCTTAATCTATATTATTTTATTATTCTGAGACAATAATAAAATTGCGAATAAATAATATTTAGAGTAATTAAAGATTATAATTAATTTTTATCTTTAAATTTTATAATTAATTTTTAAGTAGAGTATAAAAAAAATTACCAGATTCTCAATGATGAGAATTTGATTTTGTATTTTTAATTTGTCCGGTTTTCTTATTTTTTCAAAAACCTACAAATAATTTTATCAACATATTTAAAACTTTTTATTTAAATTATTTTTGTTTTTTTAAAAGGTATTTTATTTACCTTAAAATATCAATATATTTTAATCCAATGATTGAATAAACAGACCTATATTCATAATAGCCGATGCGTCTTATACCGATGTAAATCAAATTGTTTTTTCAGTAACGCCGACGACAACGGTCAAACAAGCTGTCACAAGTCACAACCAACAAAGCCCATAGATTACTATGATTCAATATATACATAGGATATTTATTTATTTATTTTCTAGTCCTTAATACAAACCGGCTTCGACATTATTTTGTCATTGTGTCGTTACCTAACTAGGTACAATCAACTGATTGATTTCGTCTTCGTATTTCTTCGTAGTCGAAAAAAATACCTAGTAAGATTTACTATACTGGATACTAGATACTTGTTAAAGTATATATAGAATAGTATATAAAGATATATATAGACTATATGACTTATAGAAGTGAAACAAATATGTTTTTCTTCTAAAGGTACGAATTAATTAATTAATTGATATTGTTTTCAATATTATTGAAACTTCTAAAACTTATGGTCCGATTCTTCTGATCTTCTCCTCAAAAATGACCGCTCATTTTAATAAACGAAAATACAAAAATTGTGGCAAATATTATATTATATTATAGTATATTATATATAATAATATACTATATAGTATACTATTATATACATAATAAATAAATTATATATATATATATATTAATAAATATTATATTATTATTTATATTATATACTATAATTATTTTATTTTATTTTAATTTTATTTATTTTAAATAATTTATATATTTCGTAAGTAGTTTCGGCCAGAATGAAAGAGATAGATTATTATTAGTTGGATAACCAACTAAAATATAAAACCAACTTTTCCGAGACGATCGATCAATAATAATAATAATAATAATAATAATAATAATAATATTGTTCTGCGGTGCGAAGCCGTACAACACGCAAAAACGTGCGATCGACCCACGACCCCGAGTCGCGATTTTTAGCGGCAGATCGAAAACGTATAATAAAATATACAAGGAGGCCAATTCGACGGGGGCCAATGACGGACACTTAATTATTACAATAACTATTACTTAACTATTACAATAATTTAAATAATACCGGAAATACTGATAATAATATAAAAATAAATTATTATTATTAAAATCGAGTTGAAGTTAAAATAACTTGATTTAAGTAACTTGATTTTCAGTTACAGTTTAGAGCTTTTTTTTTCAATATTTGGTTGGTTGTGAAATGTCACAATAATGAAATATTGTATAACATAATAATAATATTATGTTATACAATATAAAATAAATAATATTTAGATTTATAATTTATAATTTAGATTTCATCTAATGAATATTCATTAGATGAAATCTAATGTTTAAAATGAAATCTAAAATTTCATCTTCAGATGAAATTAATTAATAAATGCTTCATACACATTGTCTTCACAAAACAAACTTTTTGACTAAGAAATTAAACTAATTAAATAAACTATAATGTTAAACTTATTAAGTTATAACATAACTAAGAACTGTGGACCACAATCAAAAATGTATTCATTTTTCTACCAGCAATTTTTTTGCTCCAATGAAATGATTTTGATTTTTACAGGAATTTTCCCAATAAATGAAAAACCGGGAGAACCAAAAGAGCAGGAAAATAGGAAAATTACGAATCAAAAAGTATCAAGACAGCATCGAAGAGCAGTAGGATTGGTATCACTTGCTTCTATGACTTTTTCTGAGTACATTTGTTTTTATTGCTTTCTATAAAATTCTTCGGTTTGATTTCACTGATATTTTTGTAAAATATATTTTTCGAGTTTGACAGATTTGGAGATTTTAGAAAATTTGTCTGCATTTTTTTCCAGTTTCAGAGGGATGCAGCATTTCATGGTTTTTGCCATTAAATGTCAATTGAAAAACTGAAAATGCCCTTGGGTGGCAGCAAGTTCCGCTTCTTTTGGATTCATTACGAAATCGCCAAACGTGAAAAACAAATTTTAGAAAAATATCGTCAAATCAAAACGAAGAAGTTTATAGAGATTTTATACGAATAGATGTGCTCAGTATAAGTTAGATGCTTGTTTATAGTCATAGAAGCTAGTTTACAAATCGTTTTGCTCTTCAACGCTCGGTTTCGGAGTAATATTAGTAATATCAGTCTACTATCAGATACTTTTTGTGGTGCAAATTTTCAAGTTAAATTACATTTTTTATTAATTGCATGTTAGTTAGTGCATTTTGATGTAAAAAAAAATTTTAATCGGATTTTGTCATCGTAATATCTGCGCAAAGATTAATCTTTGCAGCGTTTTGAATGATTGCGAACGATGCTAATAAATGATAATGTTATTGTTATTTGTGTTTCCGCGAGAAAAATCTAATTTCCGGAGGCCGTTTTGTTTTCGCCATCGGACGTTTACTTTTAGGGTCTCGTTCGTCTTTATTGCAGTGTATGCTATCATTGTCGCTACTCGTCGTCTAATATCGCGCGCAATTTGTCTGACTCATAGCTAATAAACGAGTTTTTTCGTTATACTCAGTATTTATTTACCTCATGTTTTTATCCGTGATCCAACCATTTTTCTGTAAGACGAATTTATCGAATTTGATTTCTGTTTTGAAATTTGAAATTTTCGGCAGTCCGTTGACGAAAATTGCATGTTTTAAAAACCTAATATATATAGTTTTTTTTATTTGATAATGGTCATTTTAATATCATAAATATGTAAAAATTTAAATACAAATACACAAAAATATAAATACATTTAATATGCATTATTATGAAAAAAAAAAAAAAAAAACTTTAATTAACTATCTCACTTTCACTCGTTTCTTATGAAGTCAACTACCACATGGTAGTTTACACATGTAAACGAATGTTCGTTTAATTGAATTCCCAGTAAAACTGTCCAAAAATTTAGATTAGATTAGATTATTTGATTTATTGAAATAGTTATAGTTATAATAGTTATATTCAAATAGTTCGCTATTGGAATACCAACAAAAATGTGATTTGTACATTTCTATTTTCTATTTGGAACATTCCAACTCCAATTCCGACTCCTAAATAAGAGTGCTAATATTAATTAACGGTATTAAACAATATTAACAATATTAACAATATTGTTTATATCAATATCTTTATTGTACGAGGCGTGTATATTATGCGTTTCGTGTTTTTCGTGCTCGACCGTACGTAGCACCGAAATTCATTCATCGGTCTAGGCCGGATAAATAAATCCGTCTAACCGAGGTCGAATCTCCCGAGACTTGAATCTTGCGAACAATGCAAACTACACTAATATTACAAATATTACTAATAGTATTATTACTAATAATACAAATTTCGTATAATCGACACGTAAATTAAAATCGATGTGCCCACGATGTCCAATAATGTCATTACATAAGTTGAAAAGCGTGTAAACATGATGTGTAAAAAAAACAAATATATGTTTTTTTTTTTTT